CAAGTGGTTATCATCCGATTCCTGGTAACACATGTTAATGCACGTTACACTATTTGTCACTTCACAAAATCAATAAACATTAAACATTGATGAGATTGGAATAGCTATTACAGTAACTAAAATTACAATTTTCATGATTTGTTATAATTTTGCGTGATTAACTATGTCATGATACTAAAACGTTTGGGTTGAATGCTATTGTAAATCTGTTTGGCACTTACCGCCTTGTCAATCCACTTATTCAAAAGAACTGTACAATACAAATTTTGAAATGTTTTGTAATATAGGGGTAATAAAATTTAATATTTAACACCCTGCTGTTTCAATTTTAAAATTTTTTTATTGAAAAATCGTCTTAAAGAGGATTTTGTATAAAGCCCTTTTTTTTTTTTTGAATTATTAAATAAATCAAAACAAATGTCGTATATCCCGTTATAGATTTCAAGTTAAAAATTTAAAATACTAAAAGTTTTTTAAAGGGGATGAAAAAAATTCAGTTTCCCCGTTTTTTAAAAATAATTTTAAAATCAGTCTTTAAAGCCTTTAGATATGATAATTTGTTGTCATCATTATTGCGTTTTTTGCCCTACACAGAATGCGCATGCGCGAAATGCAATATTAGTTAATATGGAAAAAATCGTACTGTACAAAGATGTATAAAAATATAATAATACAAATAATTAAATAAATATATAAGAAGCACAATGTCAACAAAGTGATATTTTGACTTCAGTATAAAATACAAAATAACTATAAATGTACCCATTGCCGAAAAAAATAGAAGCAAAAGATGGGTCAGTTTTAATTGGTCAAGTAAGCGACATTTTTGGAAACTATAACAGGACAATTAAAATAAAAATCTTTTAAGAAATAAAAATAGAAGTATTTCTGGGACATGATGAGCCTTTAAGACAAGGAAAATAAAGAACAGTAATGATATACCTAAGCATTAGTAGTATATCTAGTATATACTAGATATGTATGTCACCACTTTAAATGGATCGCTTTTCTATGATGTTATGGACTACTTTGGTTTTAAGAATTATTTTATAAACAAACATGTGAATTTCCTTCTATGTTCAGATGGGTTAATTAACTTCAAAAGAGTGAGATTTTAGAATTTACAATAGACATTGAAGGAAATTTTGAAATGAAAAATATGGAGATTTCTTAATTCTGTTCAAGTAATCATTATTTTAAGAAAAATATAAAAAATGACAGAAGAAAGAGTGAGTCTTCTGCTTAAATTGGAAGAGTTAACATGTATGTTTCAAAAGAATATTCTAAGGGCACATTTCTATTGATCTAAGATATATTTGAAAAACCTTTGTAAATATGTGCCAGTTTTAGACCAATCCACTTCAATTTTAAATGAGCAATGCGGAGATCAAGACAATATACAAACAGTCTAGACTATATACACATACAAAGATTACAATCTAAACAAATATCACTACAGGTTATAGGTTTAAGAGTAAAAAAGCACCCTTACTAATCTCTATTTGCATATATGCATGTATATTCAGACTACATTGTTACATGACAAAGTTAATTAGGCTTTCAGCAATCTTCGATGTCATCTCTTTGGACTTTGCAGTTCTCAAAAGCAGATCTAGCTCCGTCTAGGTTCTGTTTTTGCAACTTCTAACATACTTTGAGCAAGACTGATCTCAGTGACATTTTTGTCAATTTTTCCTTTTGCCAGTCTGGTATCTGCATCTTTAAGCCTAACTTTTGCATTCAAGATGTCCTCATCCAGTTCTTTTTCAATTAACTTAACATCCTTTTCCTTCTCTCAGCATTTTTTGTCTTTCGCTTCTCATTTTCCTTAACCTTCTCCAGACATTCATCATTCTCTCTTTGCTTTTGACACTTTTTTTGCCTTAATAGTTCCATTTCAACTTTTTCTTCCTCAAGTCTTTGCTTATATTTTTATGAATGAATTACGTGCATACTGACGCATTTCACCAATATTTTGGACACTGTTTACATTTTCACCATCAATGGTTACTGCATCTCTTGTAATACGAATGCAATTCAGGGCCTCATCAGACATAAGAGTTCTCTTAGGAATCAATACCTTCTTGTTTACTATGAGACATCATTCAATATATGAGTTGCTATAAAATATACATAGTGCTGATTTCACAACTTTCTTTAAAGTTAGGAATTTCCTTGATCCTGCTGTTGTCTTCCTAGCTAAAATGTTATTCCAGTACTGACCAATCTTCGCCAAACTTTCATCATCATTGTATATTACTGATTTTTCAACGTCCTCTTCCCTGTATATTTTCCAATTATCAGAAACTCTTGTCACGTCATCAATCGTGATGTTGGATAAGGCCATTGTCAATCTTGATATCCTTTTTTTGGTTAGGTCTTTGGTAAACATTTGGCATTCTGTACAACATTATCCTCCCGAGGAAGCTTTTTTATGAGACAGCTGCTCACATCCTGGTAAAATTTCTGCATGTATATTCACACCATTTTCTGTCTAGAACGTTCCATTTCTGATAATGTTTGGTTAGCTTGAGCCCAAATGTCCATATTATTTAAAGGAACAGTATCTTCCTGCTTTTTCAAATCAGTATCCAAATTTACACGACACTACAACAAACTACATGAATTTCAACAGGGTAATTTTCAACAAGGCCAGTGATTCGGTATAAAGGATGCGAATGAGAGGTTTTTGTGTCTGAAAGTGTGTTAAGAATTCATCAAATATTGGTGACGATGAACAGAAAATTGATCTGTGCAAGTGTCTCCTTTGATTTCAGCTTCTCACAAATCATCTTGCATCTCTCATTCACTTTCATATGTTTGTGTGATCCATCTTATTGACTTTGAAATCTTTAAGAAAGTACAGATACAAAGCTCCCCAGCTTTCCTTAACTCTCACCAGATATGGTAGTAAAGTTAGCCAACGGCTTTGCACATGTCGTATGAACACATCAAGATTCAATGCCAAATTTTTCAAGAGTGGAGACAAAATCTTCTTTCCGGCATGGATGTGACATAAACCATTAAAATACATCAATATTCAGCTCTTTTGTCTCTTCATCATAAGTAATTAGACGTTTTCTAAATGCATTGTGAACAATGTGAACGGGACAGGCCATGAAGCTAACAATCCCCATAAAGCCTAACTCTTAGCCATGTTTTCCAAAAAAAAATTTTTTTTAAATTAAAGGTTAAATAAAAAACCCTGTTTTCCCCTTTCCCCAAACATTGAGTCTATCAATTGCCCAAAGAAAAAAGTTTGAAATGTGGTATTTTCATAATTCCCCCCAAATGCATGTAAAAATGATGCAAGATGAAACCGTTTCTGTCATACTGAAGTCTTTACTTACGGCACCAAGAAGCATAACCTTAAAAATATGAGATAGCCTATAATAAGACCTAAATGTGTATACATCATGGACAACCTGAAACACCCAAAGGATTCCAGGACCTCTTACAAGGTCTGTGTGTGACACTGTATTTATTTCAATGTCCTTTCTACATCTCCACCACCTTGTGAAGTACTAGGCTTGTTTGTTTCTGAGAAGTGAGAAGTGTTCCTGCAATGTATGTCAGCTTGCCTTTGCTAACTGTGTATGTTTTTCCTCTTCTGCATGGTATGCCGTTGCTTGAGCATTGTATGGCCTTTCTATACGTGTTATATTAGCGTGAATATTCTGATGTTGCGTCCTGTTTTTACACAACATTTCTATGTGTGGCCAATTACATCATTTTGTGTTAGCCAATTCACATTGAATATTTTGTTCGTCCATGAAGCATTTTAGTCAGTATTATTAAACTACAATAGAAACTTGGCTAATATCAAGCATGCCCATCATGCACAGAACAATGTACTGTGTATATTCTTTTGAAAATATGAATATATTTTTTTCCATATGTATCATTTTTGTGTTAAAAAAGTACATTTATCATTTGACATACCCAATACATTGTGTAGAATAAGCTAAGAACATTTAATACAGTTATTTTGTTTGATAAAAAACACTGTTTGGAAAGATAATGATTCTAGCCTAATTCTCTAATATAATATAAATGTAAGGATGATGTAAACTTTTAATTCCATTAATTATTATCATTATGAATATGAATGTCACCATGATATTCACTTTAAATCTGTGCATAATTTATCTAAACTTTTTATATTGAAGATTTTGAAAAAAAACACTGCTACACTGTATAAAAAATTATAAGCTGAAGATTTTTATGCAAATTATCAGTGCAAATTATCAGAGCAATGTTCTGTGTCACTTACCATGTACATACTATATTGGTTTGATAAGTGTCCCCTTAGCAATATAAGTATAATTGGGAAACATAGCTATTTGCAATGTACAGATGTCTATTTCATTAAAACAAAATTGAAATTATGAAGACTAAACTTTTTGTTGTCAATTTACATTTTACTGATATGAAATTTGCCAGAAGAATTCAAACAACTTGCTGCATGTCACCACCATGAAACACCCTCTAAGTCTACACTTCCTTATATAACATTCAAATATACAGTCTACAACTTAGGAATATTATTAAGATGAAAGTACACAATAAATCACAAAGATGAAATAACACAAGATTACTTAAAACAATGAATTATGTTTTCAGAAAAGTAGGGAAACTAGGGCTTTTTTTAACAAACGCAGGGAAATGTAGAAAGGCCAACAAAACATTAAGGAAACGTAGGAAAAGATGAAAAAAGTAGGACCAAGTCTGCATACGTCTTGACTTCCCACAAAACATTTTACACGTTCACTATCCTTTAAGTTTACATGAAAACCTAGAAATAACATTTTTAAGTTAACCATTTTGACTCCGGACGAGAACCTTTGTTAAAGTAATTTCTTGTTTCTTTATGCTTGCAGACAATACAATGTGGCGGGGCAGTGGAGATTTATCTAAACTCGTTTAAAAACGCGGATGGAAACGTTGGTGATAATCGTGGTTGATGCGATGTATTCTTATTTGATTTCCTGTGCGATGGCGCTTGTGATCATGTTTTTATATTGTGCTTAGATGACCGCAATGGGTATGTAATATTAATTTATCTCTAGCAGAAATTGAAAATTGAGTTTTGGCCCCTGAATATAGAAATACACATTATTATGAATTTCGGGCTCTTATGAAATCCAATTTGAATAATTTTTATTGCTTTTAGATCTATTTCTTTAAGAATACATCTAAAACATTTAGATCTATTTTGTAAATTTTAGAAAATTATTTATAGTGCTTATCCAGTTCTTGTAGTGCTACACGTTTTTTAATCTTTGATATGTCACTCAATAATGCTGTTGCTAATCTATTCTTTTTATTTACCTAAATAACATTTTACCTCTAAAGTAAGTTTCACTACAATTCATGTATTACAAATTTTAATTTCCACCATCCTGTTTTTTATGATTATAGTCATCTATGTAGATCTACAATTCAAAACTTTGCATCACATATTAACAAATAACTCATACTTGCTACATTTTTCCAGTGAATTGTTCAAAATCTTTCATATGTACATTATTATTACTTTATTTAAAGTGACATTATGTTCATATTTTCATTGTGAAGTTGAGCTGAACTGACCATATATTTCAAAATATTGACTGTTAAAATGTGATTGACCAACAGTTTAAATTAAAAAATGTTTACAATATAATTAAAATCTGCCTAAAATATAAAAAGAGAGCCCCATTCTTTTTATGAATTGAACGGTTTCAGGTTAATTCTAATGGATATCTACAAAAAATATTTATTTGGATCCGTGCGTTGTTTATTGTTAATGTGAAATGAATTTTCATATTAAAAGGAATTATAGCAAAATGAAAATTTATTTTGACTTCCACATGTTCAATCATTTATACACTTGGATGGGCATAAAGTCACTTTAATAACCTTTTTCTTTCTTTTGCCATTTTATTAAATATAATTACGTCATATTTGACGTCACAGATCATCTAGCACGTCATCATGCGAGTATGGCTCTGTCCAGACAGGGGATATTGCAAATAACAACACGATCACGTTTGATAGTAGTATCGGTGGGACTGAAAACCCCATGGTATTCTCATTCTCAAAGTGGCCGGTAAGATATTTAAAGGTTTAAAAGATACATAAATATATACAGGCTACTGATAGAAAAAAATACACACGAATAAATAAAAACACACCTCAAAATGGTGATAGATTTAATTAAATAACATTTAAAAATAATTTTAGTAATTATTAATTCAGTAGATCTAATTTGTACTGAATGCAGTTGAATGAATTGATGGAGAAAACTCTTATATTAAGCGGATTAGAGAAGTTGTTAATAAATTCCAGCGTTTTATTTCAAGCAACTAGATCTATATTCACTCTGTTTGAGGGTACAGTACTCTTTGAAAAAAAGTTGATATTTAAATTGCATTTTTATAGTTAACGAAGCTACGTTTTTTTATTTACAAGGGATCAATGAAACTGAAGGTTCTGGTAGAAGACTTTGATCCTCTGAAAGAAAACGACTTTGTAAGTTTCCACCAGATATTCATAGAGCAGACACCGTCAAGTTCTAGATCGACCGCTGGAGAAAAAAATGTTACAATACATAATCGAACGAGGTAAAATCTTAGATGTTATGACATAACGCGTATAAAGTTTTTAAAATAATATTCCTTTAAAAGTCATTTATGTGTAAAAGAAAAAAATGATTTAATTGTTAACGCACCTACAACACATTATATGACACATTTAACTATTCCTATAACTACAAATACTTACGCTCGGGTACAAAGAAAACTAAAACAGACACTTGGTGTGACAGACTACTTAGATAGAATCTAGACATAGAAAAGCTAAATAGACATGGCATGGTATGGCATATTATAAAATAAACGTACATGTCCCTGAGGGTTAATACGGAATATAATGTCAGGCTTTTTATTTTGCTAGGAGCAGTTGCAAACTAGCGATATACAAATTTTAATTCGACGCTGCTACAACATAATTATCCTTTTATTATATAACTGTACGTATTTAAACAAAAAGAATTTCAATATACTTAACTTCGATTAGTTATTTTAGAAACTGAAATATAGCTGTCAAAATCTAAAATTCATAAATGATGGATGAATACTTATATATCTATATAATAATCTTTATTGATTCATATTTTTATTAATCTGCATTATTACAGTTTATCTCTGACATTCAAAGTATATTGTGACCCAATGTATTATGGCCCCGATTGTACGGTATTCTGTCAACCAAAAGATGATTACAGAGGACACTATACATGTCACAATAAGACCGGAGAGAAATTGTGTATAGCAGGTAAACAATGAAGATTTATTTTACATTAATTTTTTCGTCTTCTGGGTCATATATCTCTTTCCTTTCCTTCATCAGAATACAGTGATAATAAAAACATATTTATTTATTCTTAGCTCGATTTCGAAACAAGTTCTTGAAACTTACATTCACATGATTAATTCATTTAAAGTCCGCTTCCAGGAACAAACAAGATAACAGGTGTCATATGAGGAAACATGGTCGTGACAGGAGCAATTGATCTACTTTGTCCATAGATTTATTGTGGTATTGGTTGATCACTTTAAATACAATTCCTCATTTTTTATAATAATGACAATGCTTAGAGTGGAGAAGGAAAAAAATTAAGAGAACAAACTTTCTATATAAGTTATATTCAAACTGGAGAGACGTCTTCCCATATACAAGTAGAAAGGGGAAAATAAGATTTACTTCCTGAAATTAAAAATGGGGAGGGGTTGGCTCTTAAGCAAAGTATTACTTACAGAAAACAGTGTTAACACCTATAGGCCACTAAAGTTATGAGTATATGTAGCTTGACATCAAACAAATTGCAACACAAGCTTTCTTTAGTATTTTGCAATCAATATATATGCATGGACCTTGTAGTAAAATCCTAAAAAAATATACCTTCGGAAACTTGACTTTTGGCAGGTAGTTTACAGGTACCTGTCCAGGCATAAAAATCGTAATATATAATATCGTAATATGTTTAATATGTGGTGACTGTCTTGTCTTTCTCTGTTATAGATTGGTAATTTTTTAGCCAGCATGTATTGGTGTTCATAAAAATAGAATTTGCAATGAATAATAACAGGTTTGGCCTCTTTTTTTATTATTTATTCACTTGTGACACACAAGATTATTACCCCACCCACTCATAATAATAATGCAAAACGTTCAAATTGCATTATCTTAAAAATACCTAATATTTACAATTGAAAAGAGGTTCAAGTAATATTTATATCACATAAGCTTATATAAATAATAGAGAAACATAATCACTTAAGCAAAATGTAACATACGTTACATCAATTACATTGACATTATTCTAGCATTTTTTAACTATTTTTGAATAATTTATAAAAATAAAGAAAACAAACTTAGTTACAACAAACAATGCATCTGGTAATATACTCAGTTTCTGAAAGTAACTCGTTATTTATTCTTTTTCTGTGTCATTTAACATATTTGTAAGTTACCAAAGTCTCATCCATCCAAATATTACCCATAAATGTTATGCAAAATATCACTTTTAACATGATTTAGTAGAAATAACTTCATCTATCATTGCCAGGATGGTCCAACTATCTATATTGCACAACACTTAAGTTAGTGAAGAATAAATGCTGAAAATGAGCTGTTGTTATGTCTTTAGTAATGTTTCAAAATTAGAATTTTATATGTTCAAAATGCCAATTTTATGTCATGTATCATTTAGGTTGCTTTAAAAAATATTTCACCTTTGAAATTGAATGCCATCACATCTTGTTTAACCTATTTATGTTTTCTTCCTTATTATATAAAGAGATATTTAAGTGATCTCCACATCTCTATATCTCTCATAATGCTCATTAGTTCGACTGCACCTAGTCACATTAAAAAAAAGTTATCCTTTCAATAACTTTCAAAGTATTGTATAGTGGTTAAAAAGCTTGCTCCTGCTGTTTTCGATGGTCTTTTCACTAGATTTACAAGTCGTGTGTTTGCACTTTTCATAAAAAGAACGTCTTGAAATGACTGTTACTGTTACAACAATGGTGGTAACGTATTTTAGCTGTCAGGAGGCCATTTACGCCTTTGATTCTTCCTAGGACCTTACTTCACGCTTAAAGTGTCTTGTTTTACTTAAACATGAAAGTCGAAAGTTTCAACTTTACTGACAACATCGCCACGAAATTTATGTTCTTTCTGCAACTTAAACAGTTACTGTCTTAAATAAATATACGTTCAACATCTTTTTCTTGTTTCTGAACTTCTAATCATATTATGGTCTCTTGCAGTTTTCTCTTCTCGTCGTAATGATAACAATACTCTTTTCTATCATTTCGGCTTTACATCCAGTCATCTAAAATGGAATTAAAAAGAGATTACAAAGAAAACATTGTCTGGTCTTAAAAAAATAATACTATTCATCAAATAAATTTTACCCAAAACGTGGAGTCCTCTTCAGAGAAATGTATAAATTTGGGTGCACTATAGAGCAAAATGTATGTTCAACGTCAAATACAGCTTTCAAGATTACAGACTCAATCAAACCATGCCTGTAATTTTCAGTAAATTTGCTGTTTTTAAGGCTTCCGAGGGATCACTTATTTTACCAGATATTTATAGATGTGAAGTGCTGTGTGGCAGCCGTAAAAAGTTGCCCCGTACTTCACTTCAGTATTGTTATATTTTTTCTGGTCTTTCGGGATCATTGAATCCAGCACTTTAAAGTGTTGAGAATTTAGTACCGCTCAATCCGGTGCTTGGGGGCATGAGGGATGTTGCACTTTTTCATTATCCGTCATATACAGACTCAATCAAACCGGCTCTGCAATTTTCATGTAAATTTGCTTTTTAATGCATCTGAGGGATCACTTTTTTACCAGATATTTAAATTACATCTGTAACTGTTATTGAGGAGAGAAACAGAATTAAATAAAAGGAGGCATTTCCCCTGTGGTCACATGGTTGTAGGTATGACAGGGCTTTCATTTTTGGCTTATCAAAAAAAGCACCCGAACTATTTATCAATCACTGTCTTCATATAATTGAATTATCTGTTCGTTTAGGCCAATACTTTCAATATGATTCACAGACCATATGCTGTAGTTTTCATAAAATATAGGACGAAAAGCATAAGGAAAGGAAAACAAACAGATAGACAAACCCTATTAAAGATAGGCAGATGTTAACAGTATCTCAGAATCTAGTTTTACAACTATCAAATTTCATTTTTTGGTAAAGACAAAAAACAGAGAGCCAGACGAACAGAAAGGCAGATAGACATGTTTTTAAACAGAAAGACAGACGGTGTAGATGGACATACAGATATCTATATTAGCACAAACATCTCTGATTCATTACGTTTGTATTGAAACTATCTCATGTGTTTGTAAAATTGTACAACGAATTTAACACTCAAAATGGGGATCTATTATCACTGGCAAAGCAACAGTTAACTCCGAATATAGCTCCTCATCAATATTTGTAGCACAATTTAGTTAAACCAGAGACACAGATAACATGTTATCTATGTCTCTGGTTAAACCATGGAGCTCAACAACAATTTGAACTGCTTACTGTGACTGTAAAATAAGTTTTCTCCCTTTTTTGAAATCACAATTTTGAAATTACATAATCATTGTAAACTATGTATCTGTTTTTGACTCCCCTGACATCTCATATATCACTAGTATGTAAAAAAGATAATATACCCGTATTACACTCAGTATTACCTTTCAATTCTTATCTTCCAAATGTTATTAAAATGAAAACATAGTAGCTATCATACACAATGACATTTTTATACCAAAAACTAATGATCTGTTAATAAATATCATGCAGTTATGATTCTAAAATTAATAACAATTTATTCTAGATTTCGTGCATTGTTTACCCAAACACGCTTCCGTAGTTACATTTTGAAGCTACCCAGGATAAACTTAAATTTGTTTATTTTTATTTTTCCTACTTCAAAAACATCTTATTATCAAAAGGAATGTTAATATATAGGCTAATGATTATTTATATCTCATGAAAATTGCAAAATCTATACTGTTTTAAACGACAATCGCTGATTTATATACACGCGAAAACCCATTACAATTCATTCATTGTATTTGATATTTGGGCATGTACGAGGCTAAAAGTTGTAAAAACAAGTAAATATAATATAAAAATTTATACATACTTTGCACAACAGCTTCTAAATCCAACTCCAAGTAGTAAACGTGTAGATTTTGATATATTTAAATCGCGCGGCCTCATAACTTTTGTTTACCTCGACACCGGTTACAGTATAAAACTCTGTGTATGGTGTACATGCAGAGCCATATAAAAACTCGAAACAAATGCAAAATTTGAATTGCTTTTTTTACTGGTTTGCCATGGTTAGATTTTTTAGGGTTTTTACCTGTTTTATATGATGTGTATAACAAACTAAAAATGTAAAAAAAGCTTGTGTTGCAATTTGTTTGACGTTAAATTTTACTTTAATCGGACTACTAACCTTTTACCCCATGAGCATATTGCGAAAAATGGCCGTTTTCATTGAAAAGCCTCCTGTAACAAGTTCAAACTGCTATGAAACTATGAAAAATGCTTCAATACTGATGAAACTTGGCACAAATGTTGACTACACCATAGCCTCTGTAACAGCATGCTCAATCGTAAATTTCTTGTTACCATGGCAACGAGGGGACGTCTCAAAATTGCCAAAAATCACTATTTTGCATTGTTTTTTTCCCATCAAAACTGATTTGAAAGTGCTGCAACATCTCAATGAATTGAGATAGAGTAAAAGGCTTTTCAGCGTCGGTTACTAGTTACCCTAAGATCGACCTGAGGCCATTTTAGCCTGTCACATGTCCAAAATTTTCTTGGAGATCAGGGAGACTCCGCCCCCTTTCAACCCCCCCCCCAAACATAAGGGGGCACATCCCCCTTCTGGCAACCCCCTGATGTAACATTTGCATGGGGGACGGCGCCGAAAAAGTGGTCACTTTTTTAACAACATTTCTCAAACGAAAACCAGTGTTTGGGGCCTAAATAGGGCATTTTTTCACTATTTAGGGCCTCAAAAAAAGCTGGGGGGGGTCAAAAAGCCGTCGAAACACGCTGATATGAGGGAAAAGGTTAAGAGAGGAGACTTCTTCAGTCACTATATATAGTCATGGAACTGTTATTGAATCTATAAGAACTGGTAATTTATAATATGTTGTGGTTCGGATCGGAATGTCTGTCCCGAGGGTATCCACCCATTTGGCGGTAACAAGGCTTCTCGAGTTCCGCCCATTGGCGGTAATCC